ACAGGGACTGAGCCTCCAGGAAGGGGCTGGGGTCTTGGGCCATGGGGGTTCAGGTTGCAGGCAGGGGAGGTGAGACACCCGAGGGGGAAGCGCAGGGTCGGATGAGTAGAGGCCTCCTGTGACAGGAGCAGAGCGAGCTGGGTCCTTGCCTGCCAACTGGGAGCAAGTCGGGAAGCGCGTGGACCTGCCAGCGAGGAGGTACAGGGACTGAGCCTCCAGGAAGGGGCTGGGGTCTTGGGCCATGGGGGTTCAGGTTGCAGGCAGGGGAGGTGAGACACCCGAGGGGGAAGCGCAGGGTCGGATGAGTAGAGGCCTCCTGTGATGGGGCTACCTGCTCTGGATGGGCGGGTAGCTGCATCCGCCGAGGTGGGGGCGCAAATCTCCACGGCTCACTTTTGCGGCTGCAGATGCACCGTTCTGTATCCATGCAGGGCTCCCCCCCCCTTAAACGACCCTCTGCAGCCCCCTCCTCCTGGGTGGGCCCCTGAGGGCGTGGGAGGCATGGGATGCGGTTGAAAACTCGGGGAGGTCGGGAGAGGTCCCGGATGATTGGAAAAAGGCAAATGTAGCGCCCAGCTTTAAGAAAGGGAAGACGGACAAGCCAGGCAACTACAGCCCGCTCAGCCCGGAAAAATCAGGGAGGGGCTCCTCAAGGAATCCATTCTGAACCCCTCGGAAGAGGGGAAAGTGATCAGGAATAGTGACATGGATTCACCAAGGGCAAGTCCTGCCTGGCCAATCTGCTTAGCTTCTAGGATGAGGTGCCTGGCTCTGTGGACGGGGGGGCGTCCGTGGCTGTGGTAGACCTTGACTTTAGCAAGGCTTTTGCTCCGGTCTCCCACAAGATTCTTGCCAGCAAGGTAAGGAAGTCTGGATTGGATACATGGCCTGTCAGGTGGATAGAAAGCTGGCTAGATTGTGGGTAGTGATCAACGGCTGCATGTCAGGTTGGGGGTGGCTTGGGATGGCGGTCGGTTTCTAGTGGAGTGCCCCAAGGATCGGTTCTAGGGCTGGTTTTGTTCAATATCTTTATGAATGACCTGGAGGAGGGGATGGGTTGCACCCTCGGCAAGTTTGCAGGTGACACTAAGCGAGGGGGAGAGGTAGATAGGCTGGAGGGCAGGGGTAGGGTCCAGAGTGGCCTGGACAGATTAGAGGATTGGGCCCAAAGAAATCGGATGAGGTTCAGCAAGGACAAGTGCAGAGTCCTGCCCTTGGGACGGAAGAATCCCCAGTATTGTTACAGGCTGGATGGCTAAGTAGCAGTTCAGCAGAAAAGGCCCCGGGGTTTCCAGGGGATGAGAAGCTGGCTAGGAGTCAACAGGGCGCCTTTGAAGCCAAGCGGGCGAATGGCGTATTAGGAGGAGCATTGCCAGCAGATCCAGAGAAGTGATTATTCCTGTTTGTTCGGCTCTGGTGAGGCCACATCTGGAGTATTATGTCCAGTTCTGGGCCCCCCACTACAGGAAGGACGTGGACGCATTGGAGAGGGTCAGCAAAATGATTAGGGGGCTGGAGCACATGACCCATGACAATGGTCCCCAACCGGGAGATCAGGACCTACCGGTAGGTCTTGGCGTCTCTAATAGGTGATCCCGACTGGTTTGACCAGGAAGCTCTGGAGTGCTGGCACTTCAGTTTCCCCTCCACCCAGTGTCCTGCTGCTCCCACCCTCTGCCTTGCAGCTGCCCCCTTGGGAGCCTCCTGCTTGCTGTGCAGGGTGTGTGTGGGGGAAAGTCCCACCTACATTCCTACTGGTCACTCCACCTGGCTAGGTGTAGTTAAACCCTTAATCCCCAGGCTGCTGGCTAACCCTCATAATCATGACAACTGCTTTTTTAAAAACCTTCCTAGTAGTACTCTAAATAGCCCATTTCAGCATCTACGCTCATCTGTTTTTGTATTTGTTTATGATGACATCAGCTGCATACTAGTCAGCCATGCTTAGGCAAGCACTAAAATATCAGAGTAATGATTTATATATAACAAACATATATTTCCTCTCGAAGAAAAACTTGCCAGCTGTCTACAC